CCATGCCCCCCCCCCCCCCCACACACCACCACCCCTACCCCACCGCCTGCCCCGCCCCGCGCCACGCCGCCCAGGTCAACATGAACAGCGTGGAGCGAATGATTGAGTACACTGCGGTGGAGCCAGAGGCGGCGGCCATTGTGGAGGCCCGCCGCCCGCTGCCCGGCTGGCCGCACCAGGTGCGCTGCGACTAGTGGGCGTGCGTCCAGGCAGCAGCTCTCAGCTGCCCTGCTTACCAGCCCCTGCTGCCGCGGCCGCCGCATCACCCTGGCTGCCCTCTGTTGTGCCTGCTGTGCCTGCAGGGTGCCATAGAGGTGGAGCAGCTGGTGGTGCGGTACCGTCCGGAGCTGGATCCGGTACTGCGAGGGGTCACCTTCTCTGTGCGGGGCCGAGAGAAGGTGTGGGCCAAGGGGCGGCAGGGAGTGGCTGGGTCTGGCTGGCTGGGATGAGGGTGGGGTTCTGTGGTGTGCTGGTTCTTTGGACATTTGCTGGGCGCTGGCTGGGGAGCACACACCCGGGTCAGGTGGGCCCGAGCTCGGTGCGCCTCGCCTGTTTGCCTCCATCCGCTGCAGGTGGGCGTGGCCGGGCGCACGGGGTGCGGCAAGTCCACGCTCATGCTGGCCCTCTTCCGAATAGGTGAGGCCCGGGAGTATTCCTATAATCATACCAAATCATGTATATGATATATCGCTGGACGTTCGGGTGGGTGGTGGGTGGGTGGTGCCACCCGCTTTCGTGGCTGCCCCACACGCCCCACTGTCAGGTCAGGACAGGCAGGCGGCTCCGAAGCCAGCCTCTGCGCGCCCGCCTCCCACCCTCCTCGCCGCCACCCCGCTCCTTCACCCCCACCCACCCCCACCCCCACCCCCACCCGCAGGGAGCCGTCGGCGGGCGCATCGCGTGATTGACTCCGTGGACACATCCTCCATCGGCCTGTTCGACCTGCGGTCCCGCCTGGCCCTGGTGCCGCAGGTGGACGGCAGGCCCTCGCGCCTCCCTGTGTGGGTTGGTGTGCTGGGCAGATGTACGCTGGGGCGCCCCGACCTCTGCCTCGCACACACACTCACACACCCAGGGAGGAGAGGCTTGGCCCGAAGACAGCCTCACAGAGGGAGAGATACTCTCCCTCTCTGCCTCCCGACCGCTGCTGCACACCCGCCGCCTCCCAGCTCTCCGCTACGGGTGCCCCACACCACGCCACCCGCCTGCCTGCCCGCCTGCCCGCCTGCCTGCCCGCCTGCCCGCCTGCCTGCCTCCCATGCAGGACCCGGTGGTGTTCAGCGGCTCCATCCGATCCAACCTGGACCCCTTCGGCGACGCGGGCGGCGACGACCGCATCTGGGGGGCGCTGGCGCAGGTGTGCGGGGGCTGTAGGGGCCACCTGGCAGTCCGCGACGTCATGCCTGGTTTGTGCGACGGCGGGGGCGGTATGGCAGCAGTACTGGTGTGCATCATGCGTGGGAGGCGGGGCTGTATATGCATGGGAGGGGGGGCTGTGTGGGGCACGCATCATCCTGCTGGCACATGCATGGAGCGCTCAGCAGGCTTGCTGAATCCACGCCCAATGGTGTCCTCTTCCTTTCTTCCTTTCTTCCCACTGCTTAACTTAACTGGAACCTGGGGCCCTGTCCGGCGCTCTGCGCAGGCGGGCCTGGCCGACGCGGTGCGCGCGCTGCGCGGCGGCCTGGACGCGCCCGTGGCCGAGGGCGGCGGCAACCTCAGCGTGGGCCAGCGCCAGCTGCTGTGCATGGCGCGGGCGCTGCTGCGGGCGGCGCGGGTGCTGGTGCTGGATGAGGCCACCAGGTGAGCAGGGCAGACGGGGAGTCTATGCCGCAGGCGTGTTCTTGCCAGTCCACAGACTGTCAGTCCACGCAAGCGGGCAGGGAAGGGCTTCTGCCCGCTGCGCCCCGCCTCGGCCCCACTCTCGCACACCCGGCACACGCTCACGCGTGCATGCCTGCTCGCCGTCCCGCCGCAGCAACGTGGACACAGCAACCGATGCGCTCATCCAGGTGGGGCCGCCTGCCTGCTGGGAGGCATGCCATGCCTGCGGTGCACTGCATGCCGCATCATGCGGCCCCTGGCCCGCCGCTCTCCCGCTGCAACCGCCTCCTGGGGCTCTGTGTCGCAAGTTCCTTTGCAGACAGTCTGCATGGCTGTGAACACGACTCATTATGCAGTACGCAAGTGCGCGCCTGTGCCTGCGCCTGTGCAGGCCACCATCGCCACCGCCTTTGCCGACTGCACGGTGCTGACCATCGCGCACCGCCTGCACACCATCATGGACAGCGACCGGGTGCTGGGTGGGTGGCGGCGCAGGCGGCGGCGCCGCGGGGGGCCTGCCTGCGGACCGTCAGCACCGCAAGCCGTTGGCGGGGAGGGGCATCATGCTGGCAAGGCGCCTGGTTGTTGCCTTGTCTACACCATGGTCACTTGGGCCCCAACACTTGGGGTGGATGGATTGGTGGCGGGCCCCGGGATCAGGGGGTGGCTGGCCCGCCTGCTATACCTGCCCACCTCGCTGCCGCTGCTGCCGCCGCCGCGGCCGCCCCACTGCCACCGCTGCAGTGCTGCACGAGGGTCAGGTGCGCGAGTATGACACGCCCAACAACCTGCTGGCGCAGCCCGACTCGGGTGAGCGCTGGCGCCGCATATTTCATTGTTGGTGGGGGCTCTAGCCTGATGCGGCACAGGGTGGCGCCTGTCGCGTGTTGCATAAGCTGCCGGCTGTGCCCTGAGCTTCCTGCTGTGCGTCCGACGCACGGTGCTACCAGCAGTGATGGCGGCTGCGGCTTCTGACGCTGCTGCTGCCTGCCTGCCCTGCTGGCCGCGCCCCCCCCCGGCCGCACAGGAGGAAGCTTAGGGCACCGCCGGCAGCTTATGCAACACGCGAAAGGCGCTACCAATGTGGGG